AAGAACCCACCTTTGCCACAGGTTGAAGGAACCAAGAAGTGTAGAGATCAATATTCATTCCCTATTTATGTGTCTCCTAAAAGTAACTTCATGTAGAGGCATTTGAAGAGCCACCATTTTGCTGGGGGTGAGGGGTAAGTTTTATTTGGTGGGGAAATTGACTCTAAAAAGAAGATGCATGGCTGGTATGGGGAATTTCAAATCTAGTCAATTATGTTATCTTCTCTACAAATAAATTTATTTTTTGCTTAATACCAACCTTCCTGCATAAAAGTCAAAGGTGATTTCTAAGATTATGCAGTGACTCTTGCTAAGTAGGAATTAGCCACGACTAAAAGTAAGGAATACTTTAAAAAAATAATCACTATGAAAAATATTGAGCAAGAGTTATTTTAATAGGATCATTAGATCCAGGCCAGGATTCTAAACAGTCTATTACACTCTAACACTAAAAATATAGAGGAGCTATGCATAACAGCAACTGCATTTTAAAATTATTACTATTTTTTTAGTGGAAATCTGAATAAGGAAGAAAGCTTTCGACTCCGCTGAAAACTACTGCGGGATTTAAAAAAGACTTTAAAGAAAATCTGCGTTAAAAAAAGAAAGAAAGAAAAGCCCAACAAACAAACTAAGACTGCAGTGTTGGCAGATGAGTTAAAGCAAATGTGGAAACTAACCATCACCATAGCAGTGACAGGTATCTCAGACTGGGGAGCTCACGTTTCATGTACACTCAATGGACATTTATAAGCAGGGATCTGCCAGGGTCTGGCTGTAACTCAAAAAGCAGAAGACTGCTAGACACTTGTCATTTGACAAGGGATTTTAAGAGCACATAGTACACTTGCAATAATCATGCTTCACATTTAAATAATGCTTTATAGCTTATTACCACATTTTTAAATATGGAGTGTCTTTTCTGAACTAGAAACTTGAGACTCCTTCACTTACCTTGCAGTCTTTGAGCAAAAGTCTCTGACATTTAATCTCTGAGCTTTTGGTTTATTTGCCTATGAAATGGGGTCCTATCACATTTTTATTGCCCAAGGCTGTTTCAAAGGACAAATGTGACTAGATGAAAGGCCTTTAAAAATACAATAAGAATGTGCTATCATTATGCGTAATCATTACTATTACTGGTTACTAATAACTCTGAAGGCAGTGAGGCTGTCCCTTTCAAGTCAGGAGGAGATACACAAAAAGGCAATGAACCCCACTTTTCTTTGCTTAATGCAAGTTTTCCATGGTATATATAACACGGGCCAATTATAAAAATTAACCTAGCTATATAGAAAAAAGTTTTTTGAGAGAAATCTATAGGAAATTGGATTTTAAAAGACAGGGAAGAATTTCAGCCTTTGAGAAGCATGAAATTCTATTGGGAGACAGAGAAGGAAAAATCATAAAAGTCTCTTAATTCCAAAAATTTTGTGCCCTGCTAAGCCATGTCCTTCCCACTGCACCAAATAGCTCAGTGGAGGCATTCTGAATACGGAAAATTGGCTGTATTGAAAAAAGGTGCTCCTGCAAGATGGGATGCAATGCATCACTGCTGCACCTGATGGCATAAATAAATTATCATACAATTAATTGAGATTCACTGTATAAATAAAATGTCATGGCAGAATGGCCATTATTATACATAGCATTTGCTGCACAATTTTAATAAATGCAGCAGGTACTAAGAAATTCTAATTTAGCAGCCTTCAACTCTTAAAAAATGAGAAAAATCACACTCAAATTAGGTTTCAAAAAACCTGTGTAAGCCACCAAAATTATTCAAAAGGGCAACAGAAACATGAAAATAGTCTATTATTGGGTAGTGCTGAGTAAGAAGAAGGCGTCATCTCTTAAATATTTTAGAACTTGGGTCATGTTATGGATTGTCTGTCTGTCTGTCTGTCTGTCTATCTATCTATCTACCTACCTACCTACCTACCTACCCATCCATCCATCCATCCATCCATCCATCCATCCATCCACCCACCCCTTTTCCTTTTTAAGATTTCCTGTAATGTGGTTAGGCTGCTTGGGCAATAAAAATGGAGAGGGTATATATACACAGACACACACACACATTTTTAAAGCAACAGATGAATCTGCATGTCACAAACTAGGAACCATATCAAAGGATGGGCATTTGATCTGCATTTTAAGTGGTAAGAATATACGGATATCTTGTTTTATAAGTTAGGACTAGAATGTTAGTAAAAAGTCTTGTCCTAAAGGTAAGTCAGTCTTCATCCTTCCCCCTCTCCCCCTCTCCAGTCAGGAACTCAGACTCAGATGGGGTGCCTCTCTTGTCACTTTGGCAAAATGAAGCCTGGTCAGAAATTAGCCTGGCTTGACAAGTCGCATGGCCACAGCAGGCAACACTGGCTGTCTGAATTCAGGTTCATGCTAGACATGGACTGAAGTTTAGTCTCCTGGACTACACTGCATCCAAACGTGCTTGACCACCAACACCCTGTGAGCAGAGCCAAAACAATGGCAGGGAGAGCCCAGCAAACTTCCTTTTATTAAGGTTGGTTTCTCCCCCTGGATACAAAACAAAGGTAAGCAAGGGAATCTTCTAATATTCTTAAGACTTGGTCCCAGACATGGACAGTTTGCCGCAGGGTTGATGTTTGCATATCTGTGGTATAAGCTTCCAGTCCTGATTTTAGGGGACTGTGCTCCCCCCTCCCCTCTATCCCTCCTCCCGGGATAGAAGACTTAAGACCTGGAACAAAGGAGACCTGAGTGGAGCAAGTCTGCTGGGAAAGCTTCATTCCACAAATGAGGGAACTGAGGCCCCAGCATGTAAGGGACACACCAATTAGGTGTCAAGTGCACACTGTCCCTTGGCTCTCCTGTCTACACCCAGTTGTGCCCCCTCCCCATCACAAGTTTGCTTCCTAGAGCTATGTTTGGAATATGGAAATGGAACTGTTATGGCAAAACCAGTTGTCTGCAGAAAACGGCACATTGTCATTTAAGGCTCTGTGGCTTTAGTGCAGTTGGGACATCTGAAATTTAAAACTATCTCCCTTCTGTATGTCTTTGGGAAAATGATGATGTCATTATTTCCTTGGTGGGCATAAATAAAATGACTATCACATTCAAAACTGTGATTTGTGAGAGAGACACATCACAATAGCTTACAGTGACGTCCATAATGTCATTAATGAAAACCATCACACGTTATAAAACATTTAACAAACAAATGTAGCACAGCCTTAGAAATTGTGATCTTGAAATCCCTTGAAAAGTCTTAGAGAACAAAATGAAGAAATCAAGATTGTGGAGCTTCACTTTTGAAATTTTCATTTAAGCCCCACATTCAGACTATTGCTGCTTTTATTAACTGTGGCACAGGAGTCCACGCCCCAGATTTGAGCTAAGGAGAGTCTTGAGGAGGGGAAGGTGGGAGGCAGGGCAACTGGGAAGGGCCAGGGAAGGACTTGAAGATAGGGGACAGGGGCTTGTTTTCGCGGGAGGAAGGGGGTCCTGGAGAGGGGAGGGGGCGCTGCAGGCGGAAAAAGTGAAGGGAGACGGAGGGGAAGGCGGGGCCGCCAAAGGTACCCTTCCGAGGATTATTAACACAAGACTTTTTTTGGTATCCCAAGCCCACAGAAGGTCTTACCTGTGAGCCTCTTTGCCCCCAGCTAAATCTGCTTGAAAAAATTCACATGCAAACATTTACATATTTCACAATTCATATTCACAGTTTTACCACATTTTGTCCACACTTAAAATACACTGGAAGCATTTTTTTTCAAGTTTTATTTTAATTGCATTTCAAACACAAGACGGCATTCCACTCACAACGCATAACCCCTCTCTTTTTAAACCAAGCCCCTCCTACCGTGCTCTTTATAAAAGTGTAAATGATTGGCTTACCTCGGGCTCTTCCCTAGGAAAAAAATTTCATATTTTTTAAACATAGCCACGCCCACCCTCTTGGAACCAGCCCACTGTGGTTTTGGATCCAAATTTGCTTACAGCAGGTTAAGCGTTTTTTCCCCCTCCTCCTCCCATCCCCCCATCAGGTGAGCTGAATGTGTGCAAAAGACCAAATTTACGTGTGCGGCCCCGGACGCCCCAGATACCTGAGTGTCTGGTTTTTCAACCGTAAAGGCGGGAGGGTTTGGCGAACGAATGAGAAGTGAGGAAACGCTTAGCGCAAAGGGAAAAAAGAGAGAAAAGACACACAGAAAAAAGGTTATGGAGGCCAGCGGGAGGCGGCCCCCTCTCCTCCCAGCCAGTGGCCCAACTTGTTACCCAAGATATCCCACCACCTTCTCCTCCGCATTTTTCGCGCCGCCCGCTGCAGAGCGCCAGCGCACAGGTACCACCACACTGTGCGAACACGGAAAGTTTTTGCCGGCACCATGGCGCAAAACACAAGACAGCCCATTCCCCGGTACAAGTACACAGTCGGCGGGTAATTTGGGGATGCCGGGGAGATGGGAATTGGAGGACACTTGAGCATATCATGCACAGGCGGACACAATATGGACACCAACACACACCAACGACAAGCTATCTGAGTCCAAGCAGCCGTGCCAGGCGAGGCGGGGGCGCACCTTCCCCAACGACCCCAACCCACGGTGGCCCCAACCAGCCTAGCCAGGGAAACCCCGGGGCCCCTCCGCGGCAGTGCCAGGCTCACCTGAAGCCCCCGCCTTTCTTGCCGGCCCCCACCCCAGGACTCGGCGGCATCTTACGGTCGCTGGCGCTGGCTTGTCCAGCTGGAAACGACCCTCAGTGTTGTACGGCACCACTTTTCTCCCTAAAGGGCACATACTTCGACCACCCAAGCCCACCCGAGCCCCTCTCCCGCTCCCAGGGCAAAGTTAGGGCCCCTCGCTGGAACTTTCTAGCAGGCTTTTCCTGCTTTTGCCCAGACCTCCTCCTCCCGCTGCCAGGCCCCAAGCCCCACCGGGCAGCCCTGCCACCCCCTCCCGGGATCCCCGGGCGGCCCTGCTCCCCACGGGCAGAGTCCGCCGCATTACCTAGAAGCAGCAGGCGATGCGTACACATGTAACCCATCTTTTCGTCCTGGAGTTGCTTGTCGATGAGCTTGCTGCGTTTCTTCTCTGCGCGCTTCTGAGCACGCTTCTCCAGGGCTTCCTTGCGCATTTGTCTGCGCTTCTCCGCCAGAGGAACCTTCTTGACCTTGGGGCTGCGCGGGGCTTTGGGCTGGGGGCTCTCAGATCGGCCGAAGCAGCCCCCGAAGGCTTGCGAGAGGAAGTTGCGGAGCAAGTTGCGCTGGGGCTTTCGGCGGCGGCGATTTCGCCGGGGCTGTACACAACGGTGGCACCCGGAGGTCCCATCGTCGGATTCGTCTCCGCTGCTGCTGACCGACCCCTCGTCGTCGTCGCGGCCGCGCTCAGACCTGCCCCGCCAGGCAAACGCGCGAGTAGGCTGCGGAGTAGGCGGATCGGCAACCTGGATCTCGGGGCTGGGGGGTCTAAGGAAACGGAGCTTGGGTCGGGCTCCGGAGGCAGGGGCAGCAGCGGCTGCCCGGGCGGCAGGGGCTGTCCCGGCGGCAGGAGCGGCTGGAGCGGCAGGAGCGGCTGGGGCTGCCCCGGCGGCGGGAGCGGCAGAGACCGCGGGAGCGGCCCCAGCGGCAGGGGCTCCTTCCCCGGGAGAGGGGACTTTTCCTCCCTCCGCGGCAGCGGCGGCTGAGCCTCCTTCCATCTCGGCTGCTTCTCCCTCAACTGGGGGTCCCTCTCCCTCTGCTTGCTCTCTCTTAACTGGGGCTCGGGAGACCTCGATGGGCGGGTCGTCAAGCGCGATTGGGGGGCTGTCCATGTTGACGGGAGTGTCGTCGACCCCAACGGGGGCGCTGCCAATCTCGAGCGGGGGTCCGGAGATCTCCATCGGGGGGCTGTCGCCCACGAAGTGTGAAGGAGGTCTGACAGCCTCTCGGGATGGGCTGCCGAGGGCGCCTGGGACCCAGAGGGGGGGCTCGTTCGCGGCGGGAGCGAGGAGGACCGCACTCGGGACCGCGACTGCCGTGACCTGGCCGCCATCACCGCCGTCGACTTGTGGGATAGCTCGGGGGAGCCCAGGGGGTGGGCTCTCGTCCCCAAAGGCTGCTTCATCAAACTCAAATGGCATAGCCTCCTCAGGGGGAGGGCTGCAGCTTCCTCTGAAGCCCGAGTTTGGAAGTCTGAGGGCTGGGGGCTCCTCGGGAGAAGCGCCGAAGACCCCGGCACCTGGGCCTCCTGGAGCAAGGTCTGAGATCTGCAGGAGAGGTTGGCTGCAGCCTCCCTGGCCAGGCTGCTCAAACTCAAAGGGCATGGCTTCTTCAGGTGGAGGGCTGTAGCCTCCCAGGCCTGGGCTGGCATCACCGAAGGCTCCGGGCTCCAGGAGTGCTGGGCAGAAGGCCTCAAGGCCTGCATGGGCCCCAGGGGTGTCTCCAGGCTGCTCCAGGGTAGGCCAGAAGCTTCCCATGCTGGGCTGCTCAACCTCGAAGGGCATGGCTTCCTCAGGAGGTGGGCTGTAGCCTCCATGGGCTCCGACTTCCTCGATGGCTTGGCTGAGGCTCTGGAAGTTGGGCCTGGAGACCTCTGGGGGTCCACAGGCCTCACCTTCAATCTGGATGGGGATGGGCTCGCTGTGAGGCGGTTCGGTCTCCATCGCTTCGGCTGCGCCAGGCCCAGCACTGGGGGCAGCTGCCCCTGGGGCCTCCAAAGATGGTTGCTCGGGCTGTTCCCCGAGTTCAAGGGAGATATGGCGTTGTCCTGACATATTATTGCCGTCGAGGCAGTTGCGCACGCCCATAACACGGTGGCGGACTCTTAAAATAAACTTGGGGCCCCGTAAGACGGAGCACCCAACCAAACTAGGGTGAAAAAAATATTTTCAAAAAAAAAAAAAATCAAAGTACTAGAAAGTTCTCCGATTTCACTTTCCAAACCTCTGTGAGGTCTGGGGCGTTCAGGGCCTCAAACCCTAGATGGTAGCAGAAGCAACTCTATATGTTGCTGGTAGAGTCTTGTCTCCTTCCTGGCCACTTTTTATCCCCTGAGGCTGCCCCCTGGCCCCCACTTGGCCTCCCCTCGTCCCCTCCTCTCTCTCTTTCTTTTTTTGCTCCAGGCCAGCCCCGCCTGCTTGGATCTGAGGAGCGTGCCGATTCGGTCCGAAAATCGTTCGTAGTGCTCTCTCTCTGCCACCAGGGGACGCCGGCCCTGGTGCCCAGGCGGCTCCCGGAGCCGGATCCTGGCGCTGGCAGCCCCGGACTTTGGGTAAGGGGGCTGATGAGCGCAGGCCTCGCAGGGACGTTTTGGCTCCTTCCACTCCTCTCCCTGACTGATTTGGAGTGTTTCTCCTCTCTTCTCCCCTGGCCAGAGAGAGAGCTCTCCTGCGTTGCTGGCCACGTGACGCAAGACGTGGGCCCCGGGCTGCTTGAGCGCAGGAGCTGAAACCCTCCCTCCCAGACCCAACTGACTCTTCTCGGGGGGAGGGGGGGACTGCAGGAGGGTTTCATTACCTCAGGATACCCCTGAACCCCTGAGCCGCAGCCCCCAGCCCTGGGCAGCCTCCGATCCTGAGCCCCAAGTCCGCAGCGCAAGGCTTTCGGCGACTGGGAAGGGGGTGAGGGCGCGGGACGGGGATGCGACAGGTGGTCGTGAGCCCACCAGTGGGGCAGACAGGAGGCGAGGGGCGAGGGGCTGCCAAATGTGCACACTCAATTTGTTTTTAAAACGCCTTGGGGTACTTTCCACTGATTCTGCAGCTTTTGTTTGCCGGCTTGCCGAGGCTGGCTCCTGTAAAGCACTTTGATGTCCCCATCCCCACCACACTCTAGGGGTCTCCGCAGTAGCCTAGGGTGGCGCAGGCAGGGTTCTCTTCCGTTTATGTGGACGATGATTCAGGAGAATAAGAGGGTCTCAGGCGCGTACCACGGAGACCCTCTAAGCGGTAGCCGCCGCGGTACCGAAGAGGGGTGGAGGGGGGGTGGGGGGCGCGGGACGTCCACCAGGACCCCACGGAGGGGAGGCCTCAGAGTTCTGGGAGTCCCACTGTTGTCGGGAAGGGTTAAAAGGGATTTCAGTTGGGATTTATGGCTAGTTTAGGGTGGTCTGAGAAACTGGACAACTCTATGCGCACTGAACCCAAAGACACCGTGCCGCGCCGGCAGCCGCTTGCTGCTCCGAGCCTCGGCACCGGCTACAGGATCGGTCAGTCAGCATCTCTAGTTCCTCTCCAACCCCTCTCCAGACCCACTCCATCCTCTGTCCTCTCGCTATGGGTCTCCCAGGGCAGCCACTTTACTTTTCCCCTGCTAGAGTCCGCTGAGGCGGCACGAAGCCCGGCCACAAACCCAGCGGTCTCCCGGCTGCGCTCCCGTCGCCGTAACGCGTGGTGTTCTCAGAGCCTGCCCGGGTAAATACCGCACCACCTGGGTGGGCTCGGGGCGTATGCGCGTACTGCTCTGGGTCTGGGGTCTGCGGAAGGATTTGAGTCCCGGGAAAAAATTGCTGCTTGCAGATCACGTAAAACCCGGGACATGGGCATCAGGTCTGTCTCACTAGCGGGTGACATGGACCTGCCAGCCACGTTTGGGTGCAAGGCAGCTAGGCAGGGAGGCAGGCGGTCGCCCCTCCTGCGGGCAGGGGAAGGATGATGGGATGGGTGTTACATCGGATGGGCTGCGGCGAGCGGGGCACACCATCTGGATCGCTGTATCTACGAGCCGCAGGCGGGCGAACCACGCACGGTCCAATCTCGTTAAGTCTAACGCATCCCTCTTAGAACGAGAGGACCACAGCCACAGCGCATCGCTGCACCCGCATCCACCATCCACGTGGCCACGCTGCACGGTGGACAGCTGACGAAGTCAGACCCTAGGTAATGTTTGGGGCCCCCCAAAGGCGTATCATCTCAGCTTTATGTGTCTACACACTTCCACATGCCAACACTGAACTTTCGTTCAAACTTTGGCCAACTATCCCCACGGGCAATGGCTCAAACATTTGGGCATCCACTGAATGGGCCAAGTGGGTTGCAAGAGTCAACTTACCCCCTCAGACCTCAGCGCTGGGTCAGCCATTGGGCTGGGGTCACGTCAATCAAGGCCGCCCGGCGAATGAGCAGGGGGCATCGCACCGGAAACCGGATACGAGTGGGAGGTCCAATAGGGGGCGCCGTGTTGGAACGCCCTAAGAGGTTGTGTTGCTGGCGTGGTTGGAAGCGGTTGGTGGGCGGGCGTATGGCGGCCAGGCCTGGGATGCCACGAGGCTGGCCGGCGCCGTCGGGTCACTCTTCCGGATGCCACAAGTCACAACAGCTAGAAGGGGAGGTCGGGGGGCTTGCAGGGGCCAACCCTTGGTCTCGCTGATGGCAGTGGGCAAACCCACTTAACAGAAGGGGCCGCCACTGGGGCAAGGCCAGGAGGAAGAAGATTTCCAGGGCCTGGGGTAGAGGGCAAGGACCCTGAGGAGGGAGAGGGCTTACTGTCCCGATGCAGAGGAGCAGCCCCAGATGGATAAGGAGTGGAGGCCCCAGGGATGCTGAGCCCTGCGGAAGTGGAAGGTCAGTAGACGTTGGGGACGGAGCTCCGGAGGCTGCGATCGGGGCCCCAAAGGGACGCTTTGCTCTCGCCAGGCCTCGTGCTTGGCCCGCTTCACTTGGGCTCTGCCCCAAAGCACTGTTCATCTAGGAATAGGTAGAGGGTCCCTTTGTCCGACATCCTCCTGGGCGTGTGGGACCCGTGTTCAACATTCCTTCTGGTATCTTGGTTCTTTGCCGGGAGATCTCATGAATTGAGGGGATAGACTGGGCAGATACCAGTCCTCCATCCTAAAGGTGGAGCAGCATAAAAATGAAAGAAAAGACCTCCAACTGGGGGGGACTTGATGGAGAAAATGGCGTTTCAAATGGGCCTCCATGGAGGGATAGACGCCTTGGCTATGACTAGAAGGTGGGGGGATGGGAGACGTTGGCCTACCGCGAACAAAGATCTCATGGTGGGAAACATGGCACATGGCTGGGTAAAGAGCACAGGCTACCTTGTGGAGTCCTGGGGGAGTAGTGGGAGAGAAGGCAGGAAAAATGAGATAGGATCTCTCTGAGGATACCATGGAACATCAGGGCAAGCAGTTTTGAGGCTATTTTGGTAGGAAATGGAGCAGATGTTGAATGTTTTTTTGTCCTGCAAGTGAAGATTTGAGTCTAGTTTTAAGAAAAGTTGAGGCAGTGCAGAGGATGGTCGTGATGAAGAGAACAAAGGGGGCTGTGGCTGGTCATGACCTTTAAGGGAGAGAGAACCACACAGTGAAGGAAACAGGAAGGCTGAAGGAAGGGACTTGAGGGATCTTAAAGGACCCTCTAGCAACTTCTGTGCTAGAAAGGCACAAAAGGGGGAGGAGCCAAAATCTGGCACTTAGAGGAAGGGACACGCGTGGGATTGGGGGGGTTGGCCCGGTTGTGGAGCCAGTTTGGTTTTAGACATGGCAGAGGCGAAGGAAGGATGGGTGATCTGAATGGAAATTTTTACAGCCTCTTAGGAGGATGGGTCTGAAGTTTAGAAAAAAGGTAAAGACCCCAAATTCAAAGTGACAGTCATCCATTTTAGGATATGAAATCACTAGATCAGATGATACCCTCAAGGGGAGAAATATATTTGGTGATAGAATCTTGACCATTTGGAGCGCTGGAGGGGAAAATGGGAGAGATTAAGGAGAGAACAGTGGGGCTCAGAAGGGACTGGGAGGAGTATACCAGAGGGAAGAATTTAAGAATTGGTCAGCGTATCTACTCTAGACCATGGTTTCTTAGCCTCTGCATTGTTGACACTGGGGGCTGGGTAATTCTTTATTGTGGTGACGGTCCTGTGCGCTGTAGGATGCTTAACAGCATCCCTAGCGTCTACCCACTAGATGCCAGTAGCATCCCCTTAGTTGTAGCAACCAAAAATGTCTCTAGACTTTGCCAAATGTCCTCTGGGGGGCAAAATCGCCCCCGGTTGAAACCACTGTTATAGGCTGAGTAAGGACCCTCAGACTTGAATAGGAATCACTTTAATTTAAAGGTAAATTGGGACCAGAAAGCAAAAAATCCAGTGTTTAACTCTGATGCTCCCCTTTTGTCCACTCTTGTTTATTTTTCTGTAGTGACTGGCCAGCAGGATCTGAAAACCCCAAATCACTTGGGTGAGTGGGGTTCAGAGCTGAGACTGCGCTGCCAATCAGCAATGTGACTCCAGAGACCCCAGAAGTGTGGCCAGATGTTTGAGGAGCTGACTAACCGGAAAGGCAGCTGCGGGGCGTGGCCACAGGGACCTGAAGAACTGGTATGGTAAGAGCTGGGGGTGATCAGCTGGTGGGTTGACTGGGGGCCACCCTGATTGTTGGCACTGTCTGGGGAGCCCACTCAGGGCTGGTGATCTTGCTGGCTCAAGACAGAAACGTGGCCTTGCCCTGGATGGAGATGGCCGGTGATGGGTTGTGGTAGGCAGCTTAGCCCAGGCCTAACCCCACCGGGGCACAGTTTTTAGGATCTGCTATCATAGTTTTATAATAGCAAAATACGTTTGAGCATAGATTTCCAATTCTGGATGGATTTCTATCAGGAAAAGAGGTAAATGTTTGATAGGAATGAGCAGGAACAAGGAAGGAAAGTCAGTTAATGGGTTCACGCAGATCAGGAGGAGGAAAGCAAGATAGGCTAGTTGGGGTGCCTGAAAAAAGACTGAGCTGGAGTGAAGGACAGCTGTGTGCTGGGGTCTGGACCCTGTTCCCACAGGGAGAAGGCGAAAGGGAAGGGCTGCGTGAGATGCTGAGTCCATTAGGGGAGG